TATTTGGTATTTTGAGTAAGAGAGATAATATTTTTTTATAATTTGATTATTTTTTATATATTTATTTTTTTTACTTACTTCTTTTTCATTTCATACTTATATCTTTTTTTTTTTTTATTTCTCTATAAAAAAATATTATCAGATTGGTAATATTCTATTGTAAAGCAGTGATTCTGATAAAGACAATAAAAACTATTTGTTAATATCTGGAGTTTATATTCTTAAAAAGTTGGAAATCTTGAAAGAAAAAAAATTTATTTAGGCAGATTATTTCTGGGTTATACTCTAGTACTTAGTTTTGGTTTACTATAATTTTACTATAATAATAAGACAGTTCAAAAGATTCTTTATTTGTACAAATATAAAACAATTTATAATTTAGATAATGTAGGTTTAGCTAACCAAGATCTTACTATAATCTGTTATTGATTTAAAAAATAAAAAAAAGATTGCTAAAGTAAAAAAAAAATAATTAGTGATTTGATACTTAATATTGTTCACAAGAATTGATCTTGGCCAAAGCATAATTATGTTGTGGATTATAAATATAACTAGATAGTTCTAACAAGACATGTAGCTACTAATATATAATCAAAAAAAAATAAACCCTTAGTAAGTTAAGGATCTGGAGAAAGGCAAATAGCTACTGAGATGGGTCACATCTGACCACTAGCTGGATGAGTCTTCTGTTTGGCTAGATTAGTAATAACTATAAATAGAAATTCATAGAGGCAAGATTGTCTACGTACAAAAAAAAAAATAATTTGTACTATTTCTATTAACTTCTCATATATTTGCTTAGTTTTTCGAACATAATTCGAACCGGAATAATAAATGTCTTTAAGCTGTTCTTACTCTCGTTCGTAAAATTTTGATCGCTAAACTATCACGAAAAAGGTATATGTACATACCAGTACTACCAGTACGTATGTACGAATAGATTAATTGCGCAACCAAATTCAACAGATGGACCAAAATCCGGGTCGGAATAGGCCGGAACTGATAAATTTCTCCCTGCATTTTACTAATAATAATTTTGCTGTAGTATAGTTTGGCTGGTAATATTGCTTAATGTCGGCCTATCTCCGGGGACGAACTTAGTATCACCCTAAAGGTCAGTTACATTTTTGGGCTTGAGATATAATAACTGAATTTTAATTGCGCGGCTAATCTACCCCGTATACATATCGTTGTACGTATTTCGATCACATGCACATGCTGTCATATACGAATTTATCGGCCTCGATCCAGATGAAATACCCAAGTGCCGCCAAAAGAAAATATGAATTATTTATCATTATAATCGAGATTATATGTATTTTTAATACAAATATGTGATACAGCATAAAATCGCTGACTTATTTTTGCATTAAATATCCTCCGAATCACTCCGATTACTAATTCATAAATATTTAGATTGGCAAATTCTAGAAAATCACATCTATCATATCTATCGCTAGTGTATTACAATTATAATTTTTACCTATATTTTAAAAATATATATAATTATATACATGGTAGATAAATATGTAATAATATAATTTGTCAAAAATTCTAAGGTTTAAATTAAAACATAAAATTGAACAATTGTTCGAGGCAAATTTTAGTCGATTCCCGTATTTAAATATCAATTATACTTACAATCATATAAATTGCTTATGTTAATTTTTATAAAGCATACTTCACATTCTAATAATATCAAAGTAGATATAATCAAATAAAAAATTTGTATAATCAAAAGTTTATATATAAGTTCAATCAAATGAACAGAAGCATGTGTCAAAAAAGTTTTTAATAAAATGAAAATGTAAATAGACCGCTTTTTTAAAAGGTATATAACGGAGAATACCTCTTCATATCCAAGAATTCGAGCTGCAACAACCTCCTAATACACATACACGCACCTCTAGGAACTCAAAACTATGATGCATGGTATGAATGAAATTATATGAAGATACACAGAATTCAAATTCTATTCAACCGTTTGTTAGACTGGCATTTCAAAAAAACTTTGGTATTGCGTTGAACTGTTATGAATATGGTTTGCACCACCATTTCCAGAAGCAAAAGGTGGTAATAAAGTCGACCCACTTTGAAGTCCAATAATCCAGCCTAACTTTTGGGTAAATTCATCAAGAGCTTGTCGGAACATGCCATTAGAATCGCGATCATGTTGAGCGAGGCTATACAAAAAAAAATAAAAATAAAAAAAAATAAGTAAAGGAAAATAACCAGCTTATGTACAGTAACTGATATAATAATATAAACATACTTTTTCGCCCATTCATTAACAACCGTTTGGCCGTATATTTTTCCCTCCCTTAGTTTGCTCGCGGCATTAATGATAGCTTTTTTCCAAAAATTAGCCAATTTGACATATAAGTCATGCTTAAGTTCGTTGTGTGAACTGTTATCCCATTCCGGTAATCTATGAGCATAATTAGTAGCCAGATGAAGAAAGGAGAATGTAGTGATTGGAAATTCGTCAGGGGATGTGAAATGGGCAGCGTAATCTAAAATGGCACCCTATGGATAGAATTGAATCGTAATATTAAATAAAATTAACAAATTATATTGCACTATTAAATATTCGGAAACAAACCAACCTTTAGCTCTATAAGGACAGGTTTGACACGATTGAAACTATAATCATCTTTCGATTGTCCCCATTTTGTATAAGGAAAACTTTCCAGATATTTCTTTTCCATACTCGTCAAAATATTCGTTACAGATAGAATTGTTGGTCGAGGAATGTTTGAGGCGATTTCCGACTGCAAATTTGGATGAGCATCTATAAGATTATTTATCAGTGATAGCAGCTGTGGCTTATCAAGGGTCGCTAAATCCAATCAAAACGGTGGTTAGAAAGAATTTTATTGTGATAATGTAATATTGAATATTGAAAATTTTTAATACCTAAAAGTTTACTTAGAGGAAATTCTTTCTCATTGCTCATCTTTGTTCTCTTTGCCAAAGAATATTCTTTTTCCATTTCTTGTGTAGAATGAGAGATTCTGGGTGAGCTTGGAGGACTTTTGCTTTCACCCATTGATTCATCAAAGTCGTAAGCGCCAGGCTTTCGTTTTCCTATGACTAAGTAAAAAACAAATAAAAACCAAATAAATTCGTGCTTGGTTACAGGTCAAAAGTTGAGAGATATGAAAAACTTACCTTTTGGAACTTCAGCTGCACCAGCAGACGTAACTCTTTCTCTGTAATGTGACTTTGGTACCATTTGGGCATGATGATAGAAGGCGCCGCTTGGATGAAAAAGATTTTGTTGAATTCTGTTCAACGGAAAGCATGGAGAATTGTCACTCATATTTGCGGTTGATATCGGTGTGGGAAAGATAAAACGGTTTTAGATAATAAAAACAGGGTGAGAGGTGAGTTAAACTATGAACAGTGGGTAAGTGGCTTTATCAGCTTTATCCCAATTTAAATGGTAACCGAAACTAGAGAAGGGTTAGACTGAGTTTGTAGTAGTTGCTAGTTGTACCGTTCTATCAACTATTGGAAAAAAATGTACGTGGATAAAGTTTTTCAGCTACAGCTTATGTAGGAACTAAAAGTAGGGCTAGGCTGCATACGTACGACAGAAAATCAATGCTATTACACGTGATTTACGCGTATTGTTCCCATTGTCTTACGTTTACTTTTAAGCAACCACGGGAACTTCGAACTCAATGTAATCGTATTGAATGTTTGTGTCTCAGAGGAAGACAATCTCCGGTAATCGAATATAGATAAATGGTAAAGTACTTAACTTTATCGCATTCTATTTGTTAAAAAATTATAAGTTGTGGATCAGCGATCAATGAAAATAATTGGCTGATAAAGGAAATCTGGGCTTCTTGTAGATCCACTAACCCTTAAATTAAAAACATACGTAATAATTAGGTAGAATAGTCACGTTGTTTTCGCTATCAATTCGTGTAACATGGTTCGGTTAAACTAGAATATTGATCTACATCCCAGGTTTTACTCTTGTAAAAAAATTCAAATTTTGAATTTCGATCAATTTATTATTCTCGAATTTTATATCCATCATGGCCGGAGATCATGATAGTAAGGCATTATTAATGATTCTTTTTGATTATATCAATTATTTATCTTTTTGCTAATTTTAGTTTTTTAATTTAAAAATTGAATTTAAAATTTCAATTCAAAATTGAATTTAAATTTTTAATTCAAATTTTTAATTCAAATTTTTAATTTAAAATTTTAATCGCTTTTAAAAAAATCAATCATTTCCATAAATTTAAAAGCTTTTATAAAAGATCCAGCGATCGAGCGTTGGGGATATATGCGTGATGAAACGATGAAATATTTTCGATTCAATCGTCGTAATACCCGAATTGCAATTGTTGGTTGTGTAATTATTCCTGTAGGCATTTATGCCCTAAGTTATGCATGGGATGTATGTTTTTTTTTTTTTTTTTTTAATTTTTTTAAAACAATTTAATTTTGTAAATAATTTATATTTTTTTCCAAAAGTATAAAGTGGATTGGAATAACGCGTTTAAAAAACCTTCGTCAGTTTACAAAGAAAAAAACTAACAAAATTAAATTAAAGGGTGTTAAAATACAATTGTGACAAAATTTTAAACACAATAAAGCTTGTTATCTAGCAATTATGTTAACTCGAGTTCGATAAAGAATTCATGGTTACAAACATGAATTGTAAAACGTATGCAGCCCGAAACTATATTAGGAATGGGTTCAAAAAGATTCAGTTTGTTGATTTAATTCTATTAGCCAACAATTAAATTTATTAATTAAAAAAATCAATGCAATACATCCTAAGGGAAGCCAGTTTGTATTAGTTGCTTCTGGCGGATTTTTTGAACTTCTTTCTAGTGGCAGGCAAGTTACAACATTTCGAACTTGGATATGTTGATGACCATAATCTCTAACTATTCATCACGTTCTAACACTTCATTTTTTTTGTCTATGCATTAAAATTTTTCAAATAAAGCGATGAATGAATTTCTTTTTCTTCGTATGTTATCACAATACTAGTTTCTTTTTCTCTAATGAATTGATAATTATATTTTTCATTTTGTCAACCAATTTCATACAAACTCTAATATATACATCAGGAAAGTAACCATTTATACATGCTACTACTCAATCAAACTATATATGATAGACACCTTCTTTATGTATAAATAAGTGCTTGTATGAACTTAGTATACAGAGTTATATTAATATTGCCTTATTATTATTATTAAAAGGCACTTGCTTGACTATATCCACAACCATAAGAGACAATAGAAATTAACCAGTCAAAAGTTCTCGTTTATGCAACTATTCTTATTGCCAGTACTACGAAAATGATCCTTATCTTATATATTGTGTCTTTATATTTATTTAGCAAAAAATTTTTTCAACTATAACTATTTGTAATAATATAGTATTTTTAAGCGGGGAATTTTTATCGTCTTCTATCCCTAAAATTACTATCTCTTCGATCGTCCCTTCTATCATTATTTCTATCACGTTCTCGATCCCTATCACGACGATCGTTTCCGACACTACGATAGCTGTTCCTTGCCCGATCCCGTTCTCTATTTCGATCTTTTAAGATACTGCCTCGTCTTTCAGGAGCTCGTGGAGGTGCACCATGGAAAACACCCACGTCCAAAAAGTCTCCGATAACAAATCTTGCATCGTCAAGATTTATGTCATCATCAGAAGTTGATGTCATATTATGAACCGTACCCAAATCTTTGAATGCATATTTTCCACGTAAATTATCAATGTAAACTAGTTTGAATGATATTCGTGCATTTGGACGAGTTGATTCAAAGTTCACTTCTTTAAAAAGATTAGCAATTTCTTTCAACGTAGCATCTTTCCTACACATATTTGCGGAATAAAAAGAATTAACTAAATAATTATATTTGCTTAAAAAAAATTTGTCAATTAAATTTACCACGTGTATAGTTGTATTTCATTCTCAGTAGGGAGATGGTCTGGCGTATAATCGTCAGGCCTGTCAAAAAAAAATATATTTCAAGGTAAATATCATTTTGAACTTATTCATCTAGTAAAAATGAAACTTAACGACGTCTTTCACCGGTGATGAGCGCCTTGCTGCCAAAACATTCGCAATAAAAACGGGACCGTCTATAATATTAAAAATAATGCCAATAAATTAATTACGTTTGAATATAATTCTTAAATCATTCTAGGTTGGGATCTTTACATTCTCACGATCAACTACTAATTTATTTTTGCCACCCGATGTAGTACTATTTTGTAAGTCGGTCATTCTTCTTTTCTAGAAAGTTTCTGGAATTTGTTTTATACTCCCTACCACTACACAAGAATACAGCTTAGCTATAACACCAGAATCTAGAGAGAGAAAAAAAAAGTAATGACGCGAAGCTTCGTATATTTGAACAAGCTATATATAAAATTTGTGATACTTGAACTAGCACAATTATTGGTTGGCACGATTATTGATTAACATCATAAATATACCATCCTAATAAGATCTGTATTAAGTTCTGTCGGATTTTTTTTTTATTTCATTAAATAAAATGTCTACCAACACCAGGTTCATTTATTAAATCATTTCTTTTGTTAAATATATGCTTATAACTTATTCTTTTTTATACTCTTTATAGATTCAGCGGAACCATCTACCGCACATTGTTTAGACGTAATTCTGTATTTTTGGCCGGAATTTTTACTACAGCTTTTGTGATTGAGGTGGCTTTTGATACTGCTGCCGACAAGGTTTGGGACAGTATTAATAGAGGAGTAAGTGGAATTTCATTCAATTTTTTATAATCATCAAAATGATTTTTTTTCTTATATTATACATTTGATAACAGAGACAATGGAAAGACATTGAAAGTAGATACATTCAAGATTAAAAAAAAAAAAAAAAAAAACGCCATTAGAATATTCTCAAATTCACAATTGTACTAATGTCTAGAAAGTGATTTATTTAAATTGGCAAGAAACATTTTAATGATATTAATAACAGAATTTTTTGCCAATGATCACTTTTTAAAATAACATTTCTTATTCATCTTGTTTTGTTTGTTTCCATTTCGCCCATTCTGCCAATGTTTCATCGCTAATATAATCATACCTCCAAATGTATCCTTCCTCACCAGCCGCAAGTACTTGCCTGCATAAAAAGAATTTATCAATTCGGATAAATCAGATGATAAAAACGTCTTTTGACAAATACATGGCACTTACTTTGTATCTCTTGAAAATATACAACATCTTACAGCCTTGGTTGATCGTCGATGACGAAGTTCTGTTACCAACTTACCACTTAAGACGTTATATATATTGATGCTACCGTTACTCGTACCCACGCAAAAGTACTTTTCATCCAAACTAATCATATGAAATATAAGTTGAAAATAATTAGAAGGTAATATTGAACATTACTTTGTACATTACCTAACATCAAATCTCGATCTATTGTTTGAGCTGTTTTTGATAAGGAAAGATTTAATAAGTTCAAATGTTTCGTAATTCCAATATTCGATTTTGCCATTTATTGATTTTGATAGCACATTCCCATTAACAAATCGAATACAATCTGAAAATATTTTCGAAAAATATAAATTTAAAAAATTGACTGATTATAATTATAATAATAAATTTTCGAAAGTGAAAAACCTATTTGAACAGAATGGATCTTTCTAAACCGTATTTTAAGATCATCTTCAAAGAGATGTAATGTATCATTAGGTGGATTGATCAAATTTGGAGTTTCCCAAATCCGAATTTCACCGGTATAATTTCCAGTTAAAAATGTTTGACCGGATGGATGCCAGTACTAAACGTAAAAACTGGTTAACATCAAGTCATAATTCATATGATCATTCGGATTTATTATTTTATAAAACCAGTTTGAAACCAGAGTTTATATTAAAAGAAAAAAAAAATCCGGATGTCAATTATATCAATTCTATTTTAAGTAACTATTTTTGCTTAACTTACAATTACTGAAGCTCTAGTTTCAAACACGTACAAACACGTGCCTTTATCTACATGCCATAATCTCACACTTGCGTCTTTTGATGCAGACAATATATGTTGGTCATCTTTCGGGTGCTTTTGAATATCAGTGATGATGTCTACAATTGTAAATTAATATTTAATTTTCAGTAAAGATGAAAATTTGATAAATAGATATGAAATATACCATTATGCCCCCACAATGTTTTTAAAGTAATGGATAAGGCAAGACTGATAATATATATAGCACGCGAATTTCCAGCAATGGCCAACAAGGCATCTTCATCTCGGTGCAACCAACAGCAAGTTAATAGTTCCTACAACATGAGTAAAACGTGTTAATTTTTTTAAATCAGTTACGAATATGAATAAAAGGAGGTACGAAAAGTAAACATACGCCTGAAGCTAGATCAATATTTTCACAAATAGCAAAATTGGATACAATATCCAAGTGATCACCACAGTGTTCATTATCATAGATATTTGCCTAATTACGGTTAACTCAAAAAATTAACGCCATGTATACACACACACACACATATATATATATATACGTATATCATATATACAATAAATAATACAAATATACCTGAAAACTACCAACACTTGCTAAAACGTTACTTGAATCATGTATATTACGTTCGACATGACCAAGTTTATTAAAGATTTTTTTGTATTCTAAACCTACAGGAGCCTCATAATTTGTTAAATTGAAAAAGAAAGCCAGTTGATTTATGTCATGCCCATGATTTTCTTTGACTATACGACGTAAGCGAAAATTCTTAAAAAATTGTTCTTCAGGATTAGTTTCATTTGATGTGAAAATTCCATCTAATGTAGTTATAGACTCCTTTGTCGACGTAGATTCTTTTTTGCGTCTGACGCGTTTTTTGGGAGGTTCAACACTTTCATCCTCTGGAAAAACATTGGAAGGTGAATATGGTGTTAAGTTTTCAAGATCTGTGGCAGATTCTTTAGAAACAGAAGAACGTGTTAACATTTTTGCAACGAAAAAATACGCGTTATTACGATTAAAGTAAGAATTTCTTTTATATAGAAATACTTTAAAAAATTTGTTACACGGTAACAGATTACATAATCATCTGCTAATCCATAATATGATAGATTTGGCATAATGATCTGTTCATTCAGAATTCTACTAAACCATAAATAAGAACAATTGAATTAAAAGTATATATTCACATGCGGCCATTTGCTGCGCCAATGGTGATTGTCATTCTTGATCTATATTATAATATTATTGACACTTTCAAACAATTATTGAATGGCCGACAAATTACTATAGTGTATGAAGCCCTGTTCACATGTTAACATATGATTTAAAAGTATTTCAATGTAATATAACCCGAATTTAGTATTAATAATTTATGAATACGTATATACAAGAGTCTCATACCCTATTTAGTTTCTGCTTGAATTTTGGCATGCAGAATTGCCTAAAGCTAAATACACTTAAAGGGTAGTTGATTTTAACGTCGTCCGGATATGGGTTAACGGTAACGGTGAATGGCTGTTACCAAGCAGACCCAGGTTTGATACCGGCTGGTGAAACTATCTAATAGGTACCGTGTTAGTTAATCACAGTTGATGTGTCAATATATTTGAATAATAAACCTTTTTATACATCACGGCGAATTTATGAAATTAACTAAAATTCGATCACTAAATCTGAGTAACCAAATTACATATAAACTAGGAAATGCGCAGCATTGTGAGTCCGGAGCTACTATTATTAATTTTTCAACAGATATTTTATATAATTGATTATTATATAGTAAAAAAGAGATATTTAAAATAAAAAATTTGTATTGTATAAAAAATAGAGACGATTCTGTATTGATAAAAAAAGAGATCATAGTGTAACGTAGGTCAACAGCGTATTCAGCCAATCATAAACGCAGAAGGGCCAGACAGACAAGATCACGTGACACCAATTTATCAAGTGTTGTCGTAAAAACAGAGTGTCCTCCGCTACGCTCCGGACAATAAATCGATGTTAAACCCCGAAAAAGTTTTTGGGACCTCTGATCTTGATTGATAACGCGTCTAACCCATCTTTCCCACGTGCTAACCCACTTTCCCCACCTTTGACATATCTTATTAGACATAGAAATTTATTATAATAACACATCTTCACCCGGGGATAGTAGTTATTTCGGTCAAAAATCATTGTTGTTTACTTAGTGGTCAAAATTTTCAAATTTTGGGCATTTTATAAATTCGTCGCAATGACACTTGTAGAATAAATAGAGGTGAGATTACCTTAATATTAAGA